GGTGGGCACAGAGGGAAGCTGCAGCAAGGCAGGCTGACCTGTGTGTGCTCCCAACCTGGCAGGGATCGAGCTGACTCTGCGTGTACAGAACGACATGAGCCCCAAGGCCACGCTGAAGGAATTCAAGGAGAAACTGGTCGAGGAGAAATACCAGGGGGACCTCAAGGCGCTCAAGGAGGAGGTGGAGGCTTTTGCAGCAACTTTCCCGCTCCCGGGCCTGCCTGTCCTGTAAAGGGAGGCAGCAGTGCCCAGTCCCAGAGCCAGGACGCACCTGGGATTGTGGCTTTTTCCTGTCCTCAGTCCACTGCCCAGACCCTCTCATCAGGCGATGCCCCAGTGCCTGCTCCCAGCACTTCCCTGCTGGCACCGGTTTCTGTGCAGCTCCTGGTCCTAGTTCAGCTCTTACCTCCTCCCTCATCTTAAGGGATCCCCCTTAAATTGGTTAATTTCATCTCATGGGATCCCCCAAGAGCACAGCCCCCCGAGGGGGAAACCGGCCCTTTGACCACTAAACGTTACAACGGGGATATTACGGCTTCTGTTAGGGGACTGAGCAGGTAACCCTCACCTTATGGCCAGGTTTGGGTTTGATCCAGCTCTTGCCACCTGTGGGAACAGCACATGTGGTTACACTGACCTGCACGGCGCAGCAGCCTGGGACAGCCGCTCGGGTTCACATCCTGCAGGAGCTGTTTGCCCTGGGGCCACACGCACTGTGTGCGATTGCACAGGAGGCTTCGCAGCCTTAGAAAGCCTCGCTGGCTTCAGCCTCGAAGACTCGCCTTCTAGAGCGCCCAAAGGCAGAGGCAGCTCTGCCTTGGTGCTTCACAAGCTCCACGCGCTTTCACAAGGTCAAGCCACATTAGGGGAACAGGTCTCTGGTGCTTTGTCCTGCATCCACACAACAGCCCTCCCCAGAGATCAGTCTTCCAACTCCATCAGTATTATTAGCCCATGTCTCCAGGCTCTTTTCAGGCATCTGAAGCACAAAGCTTAGGTAGAACCATTTTTTAATAAGCACAGTAAAATTAAGAATTTAACCACAATGTATGACAAGAATTATAAGCTTTAAAAAATACAACCGATTTTTTGTATTTCAAAAATATCTGAACCCAAATAAATAATTTTTTTTAAAAGTACATTTTTCAGACTAGTCATTTGGTGTTAACATCTGTTAAACTCTTGTGCAGTAACACTTACAGCACTACACTAAGACATGCTTCTCGGATTTCTCCCGATCACACTCGCTCTAACTACTGACGCAAGCGTTCTGTACACACAGGCACGCACACATTAACTCGACATGCAGTAATAAGATACAGTGCTTTAACATAAGATGAGAATTCATCACAGCCTACTCACAGCCCTCAAAGGCAGTTCTTATCCCAGCCCCATCCCTGTACTGACTCACCCTGCACTGAGGAAGCCAGCGGGACCAGGTACCCTGTGTTTCTGCCTTCCAGTTAAAATGCATCTCTTGGCAACCAGCGTGTGGTAGGTTTATGACTTCTCAAGCTCTGGTAGCAAGTGCTAGGCCCACTCAAAGATATTAGGGTACAATCTGTTGCTCTGTCGAACACATTGTGCTATCAGGGCACAGCATGGAGCAGGCACTTTCCTTCGCAGCTCACTGCGTTTCTGACCACACCTTATTCCAGGTGCCTTTTCAAAGTGCTGTTACAAGCCCTGTGTCCTGTAGCAGGTCCTGCCCAGCTCTCCAAAACCAGATTCTGCAAAGTGGCCAGTTACCTGCAGGATCAGGGCCACCTGCGCTAACCCCAATGCCGAATGAAAACCAAAGAACAGGCTTGGAGTTACGGAGCCATCAGCCCTATTGGCTTTTGCTCCCCAAGCACTTCTCCCACCCCTTACAAAATGGTTAATATTGCTAGAGTATAGGCAGTACTTCCCTAGTCAAGGCAAGACAGCTTTGGAGCTGCTTAGAAGTGATTGCTACTGGATGAAAGTAAATCTGAGCACTATTCTCTGAGAAATGAAACCTGTGTAGGGTTAATATCACCTACTCCTATGGCTGACCATCCTCATGGTTGCATCTGAAAGCGGTAAGCTAGTTTAACTGAGAGCATGAGCTAACGGTACATCTTCAAACACAGGAAACTAGAGGAATAAGAACACTGAACCCTGTCCTCCTGGCTCAGCAGAAGGCCACAGGAGACCTTTGCTCTGATGAATTCTCTGGTCAGGCTTACAAACCTCATCTCCCTGAGGGCCCGCACAGAGAGGAAGGAGCCACAGCCAGCCGTGCAAGAGGTGATGGCATGCTGGCAGCACTTACAGAAGCGGATAACGGCCACGCATGACACCACTGGGGCTCGCAGCTGGAGAGTCGATGCACGAAGGCTGGTTAGTATTACACAGCAGCCACGACGAACCTGCCCTGCTAGTGGTGGAAGCATGGCTGGATGGTAGCGCACGTTGTTCGGGTGGTGCAGTACAAGCCAACTAACATGCCAAGATTGCTGGAGCTGTTAGTACTAAGATCTTAACTTGTTATTAGTTTTCTAAGACTGGAAACTATTGAGGTAACACAGTGAAGATGCAGAAAGACTTAAAGTGCTGATACAGGGATCTTTACTGTACAGTCAGGTCAGAAAGTCAAACAGAAAAAATTACTGAGCAAAGAGGAATTCAGCTCCTCAACCACCAGCTGCGCTTGGACTCCCCCAGTTCCTGCCTCTGAGGACTGCAGGCAGTTAGGGCAGGACGGGCTCCAGCTGCACCGAGGTGCTGCAGCTGAGCGCTCGCACGACGGGCTTGCCAGAGTCCACGTAACTGCACGCTTCCTGGCATGGGAAGGCGAGCTCAGAGGCTAGCTAAGCCCGCCCGAGTGTGAGCCAGTTTCCCAACGGCAAACACTTCAAGGCATGTTTCTCCTTAGCTCCTGCTTAATATCTGAGTTGCAGGTAACACGGAGCTCCCCTTTCAGCCTGTTCAGGAATGAGCAACAGTCCCGATAAAGCCTCTAAGGCATTCTCTGAGATTCGGAACTGCTTTGTGGGAGAGAGATAAAGAAAGTCAGACGGGTAGAAGCACAGGTATTGCTAAACATAGCCTTGAATATCAGATATTACAGATTTGATAGGAGAAAAGATAAGTGATTTTTTGCCAATTTATGAGTGCAGCTAAACACTACAGGTAAAGACCATTGTAACTAAGAAGTCACATAGCACTTATCATCAGTCCTGCTCTACTGCTCCGAGCTGTCAGCATGGAGGAAGTTTAGTTTGTCCCTCCCTCCTCGATCCAAAGTAGCATCAGGTCATTTTTCAGCACAAAAACACAAGCTCCTGTGACAAACGCTTCTCCAGTGCAGAGGGTCGGGCAACATGCACACAGCTGTCGTCTGCCCAGTATCACCTGCATTACTCATTTACTAAGATGTTTTCCCCCTCTGGCAATCTTACCTTGACTTTAGTTTGGAAGTTATTCAGATGCACACAAATCAACAAGGAGATGCTTCAAGTTACTTCAGAAAGTACATGTTTTCTAAGAGCATGAAAGTCTTTCACTAGCAGACCCAGTTCACCTGCGACAGCAGCATACAGGAGGACACAGAATCAGAAAAGGAAAAGGTCTTTAAACATGCTTTTTAAATGCGAAGGCAGTTCTGCAGCCTCGCGCACAGACACACAACAGCTGACATGGTGCACTGCTCACCTCCAGCAAAGGCAACGGCACACTGCCTCCCAGCTGCACACTACAAATATAATCACAAGCAACCTCTGGCCTTGGAAATCCCTACGTATCACAAGCTCAAGATTCTCGGCAGAGCTAGCCTCACTGTAAGCCATCGGAAGTAATGCTAATGTTTAAAATAGAGCCTTTTGCCTTGCTGGTTTCTGCCTCCTGCACTGCCTCAAAGACTCCTTTGCAGGCAGGAGAGGGGAGGCAGCGCTACCGGCGTGTGGATGTTGGTGCCACGTGACAGCCTTCCCAGGACGCTCTGCCCTCAGGGACAGGTTGGCGAGCAGTGCAGTGATCACAGAAATTTTCAATGCAGTCTAAACTACGCTGACAAACCCCAGACTCCGCGCAGAAGCTTCCCCAGGTATGGAGGGAATGTTATACTCGGTTCCAGCACTCTGTCTCACATAATCACAATAAATAGAGGTTTGAAAAAAACCTAGTACTTCAGCTAATCTTGTAAAATCTAAGCTGCTTTCCCTCCAGAATCAGAAGAGAACAGTGCTAAAAAGAAGTAAAACCCAAGTTTTCTTTCCGAGCAAGACTTTTTCTTGCTTAAAAGAACTGTGAAAGCTGCTGTCACCACATGGCATTGGACACAGCAGCAAACTCCAGCCCATGATGGCGGCCAATGAGATGCACCTCCGAGGAGATTCCAGAGGGAAGTGCTGTGCCCCAAGAGCCGGGCACAAAACACTCAGCACTGACAGGAACAATCTTCCAGGAGCATCGCCGTGATGGCGACGCAACCTTTCTGGCACAGATAGCAGTAAAGAAGCTTTGAAAGGAAGGTCCTCGGTATCCAACGACCAGGCTCAGAGAGCTGCAGTTCTGCCCCATCCAGAACTATCCAGGAACGCCACAGGAGAGGTAGTCAAGAAATTACAAAGGCTTGGCGTTAAAATAAATTGGCATGGCCAGAAGCAGCATGCAGTGACACCGAACCTGCTTCACCACAAAGCACAAAATTCAGTTCCCCAACAAAAAAAAGCAATATGGATACAACATGGGATCCAGTACATTCATCCTAGATTTTGCCTGAGCACTAGCGTCTTGCCAGCCAGGCAGCCTGCTCTAACAGCTTGCTGTCCCTCACAGCATACCTTCAAGAGCATTGCACCGTTCGTTTCCCCATCACAAAAAGCATGTAAAAAGGAGCCTTTCCCTCACGCTGTTCAGCTCCCGTCTTTCTTTAGAAGGTCACCCTTGACCTCACAAGCTTTGAGGATTCTTGGTCTCCCTCTTCCTCCCACCTTTCCCACAGGTCGCCAAGCAAACAGGATGCGACAAGTTCACAAGGCACAGTGCTCTACATTCACAACAGCAGGAGCCTCGGTGCTAGCCAACGTTGAAAAGGAGCCCTTCCACATTCCAGATTTTAACAAAGCTGAGAAATCAGCAAACGCTTTCTGCACAGAAGCACACCTGCTTCCATTGCTGTCCTACGGGCTCCGGAACAACCAGCTCTAGGAATTGCCAGGAACTCCGAAAATGCAGAAAGGGACACCATCAACTACTGCTTCACACAGGCAGACAACTGCATGCTGCCCTCTTGCTAGGGAGCATTAGCACGTACATCAATTACCCCCCACATGCAGGCAAGATACTAGTGGATTAAAATCTTCGTGTGGCTTTTATACTTCCCCTGGTCTCTGCCATGGCTCCACCGAAGGCAGCAAGAGCGTTCTGGTGGAAGCGTGCAGAGTACTGCCTATTTTGGGGGTGCACGTTACTAAGTATTGTTTCACAAGAGCGCCCATCTCTCTCAGCGCCATAATCCTCCCTCAATGCTACTATCCAATGCTTTAGAAGTTAATAGTGTCCCTTTCAACATCTGAAAACAGAGTGGCCAATGTTTTTATATGATGGAACATCCAAGTTCTGGGCTACAGGGAACCATGTAGAAATTAGGTCACTTGGACATTAATTTCTACTGAGCAGAGACACTTGCTTGCAAAGGCATCAGCTTTTCTGCCCCTTCCTGATGTATGAGAGCTACTACAGACAGCATCAATGTCAAGCACAGATGATCTTTGTCAGAATCCAAGTATGACAGCAGACAGCCCAGATGATACTAAATTTTGTACAAAAAGCTGGGAACATAGTCAAATCTGAGCAGAGGATTCACCCCCTGGCCGGGTTCCTGAATGTACTGCAGCTTCAGCAGCTCAGCTAGATACTGTACAATTTTGATATCTTCATTGGCAAGGCCCAGGTGGAGCTTCAGAAAGTTCATCCTGCGATTCACAACAGATTCCTCCGGTTCCCTTTCACTGATGGGAAGGTGCAAATGGTGGCAGAAGGTGAAGAGGAAGGCTTTCGAACACAGCTGAGTGAGGATACTTTGGACGTGCATATAATAGGTGCTCCCTCGTTTGATCTGAGTGCGGTGGTCCGCCAGCCTGGACACCAAGGTTCCTTTATAAAGGGGGCAACGGAGAGTCTTACTGTCCGCATCCAGGATGCTAATGTATCGGCTGTATCGGCTCAGAGCATGCAACATGTTCACCCCGGCAGGGGACACCATTCTGAAACAGCAAGGGGAGAGAGAGGTCACGGCTGGAGGAAAACAGGTGGCTATGGAGCGCAGACTGCACGTCCATGAGCCTGTACTACATGCAGCCGTCCATAAGCCAGAGCAAAAGTACAGAAGCGTCTGCAGGTAAATTAAGTCTGGCACAGAAGAGAATGGCCCAATAGTCTCTCCAGGCTGCCAGATCCCAAAGAAACCTTGATCTCCTGGAGCCCCAGGTGCACCGATCTGAACTGTACGTGCACTACTTCATAAATGCAGCACTTTTAAGGACTGTTTCCTCCTTGTTAGACACAAAAACAATGACATAAAGAGAGCGATAAGGCATCTTTGGGGAACAGAAGCAATTCTTGCAGCAACTGGCTTCTGGATGCAGCAATAAGGAGCATTAGAAACCCCCTTGCCAAGAGCTCTGCTTTCCCCCCAAGTGGCTGTTTTGGGAGGGAACTGCTCTGAGGTGGTCAAAGCCTTGAACAGAGTGAAACCTTTTGCCCCTCCTTTGATAAGGGAATCATCCTTAAACCAGAATATCCCCTGCCTAAGCCTAAACATTGTTCACTAGGATGCAAACCCAAAGCGCATTCACAACATACAATCACACAAGCCTAAATTAGTGTTATTTAGCTGCAAATTACAGGCCTATGTGAACTCTACCTTCCGCTCCTGAATTCTGTCTGGTTAAAATTACTCTGTTGGGATACATCACAGCCTCACACCAGAGGCACCAACGGCTGGCGTATTAGCGTAAGAGCTGTGCCTAGGCAGCGCTTGGCCTTAAGAGAAGTAGCACCCTTTTGACCTTACTGAAATAATTCTCCTAGCCTCTAAGTTCCTTCCCAAAGCCTTTGTACAAACGGTTCGCTAAGAGCATCCACGTTCAACTCAGCGCTTAATTAACACTTCCACTGAGGAGAGTTTAAATGACTGACACATCTTACAAGCTGTTCTTAAAAAGACTTTTGTTTATACAAACTGCATTTAACCACACACATCAAACACCCTGTAAACCCTCAGAGCTTTTAAAAACTCCCTGACAGAACATTTTGGAAGCAACTGTTGGCAGAGCTATTACCTCCGCCCTCCGCTCGTGAGGCAGGGTACGGGAGGAAGCTCACAGCTTAGGATAATTCAGTCACTCATAACCCCCGCCGTGACAGAGAATTAAGCGACCTAGAAAGCAGATTTCTGTATTTTGAGTCTCATTATGCTCAGAAACGCTCTTTCGGCGACTGTTCCAATCTGGCTCTGAGCCGCATACTGACGCTCTCATCCATATTTCCCACTTTGTTGACAGGAGAGGGCATTCCCTGTCATACCTGCACCCGAAGCGCCAGAACGCATCCTGCTAACGCACAAAGCGAATCCTTTCATAATAGCGTTAAGGGAAGGGCCAAAGTCTCAAGAGCTGAGCCATCACTACTTAGTAATATAAACTATGAAGCCACATTTTAGGATTTGAGTGTTGAGGGAGGGATGTTTGTTTATTGTCATGACGACGTTACACTGAGCACAAGTTCCCTGTACATCTAAGTTGCAATTCCAGCACTGCAGCCCACTGAGCTCTTTGGGCATTTTGTTCTGCGCTAAAGCAGAATCATAAACACGTGGCTCCGTGTCTGCTCTGCCTCATCTCAATCAGAGCCCAGCCTCGCAGCAGGCTTTGCCCCTCTGCCCTGCACCAGCATGCAAATGCTACAGGACATTCATTTCGACAAGGGCAGGCACGCTCTCACCAACACAAACCAAATGCTGGCAGTCCGATTTCTAACCTACTGATTTCATCAACAGCGGGTTGGTTACCTCTTCATTAGGGTTCACATGGTGGGGGTGGGGGGAAGAGTCCTAGTCCTCCATATCAAAGTGTTAATTTCAAAAGCAAAGTCCTAACTAGAGCAGTTGAAAGAGCTTTGGAAGCAGGCTGGGAGGGGAAGGAAGAGCGCGCAAAGAGACTCCAGGAGCACTTTGTTTTCATTCCATGCAGCAAAGCAGTAGGAGCAATTTGTTCCCTTGCTTTGCTAGGCTAAGATAGCACAATGGCAAATCCCCTGGCAAAATAACTAACAGGAGCCAGACAGCAAGTATCCAGTAGATGTTTTAAAAGATTAAAGCGAGGCTGGTTACAAAGAAGCTGACAAATATACACCCTTCCTTCTACAGACACACACAGACATCTGATAAGCAGAAATTTATGGCAGCTGTGTAAGTAATTCTGTAAAGAGAACTCTCCCACTTATCAGGTTCCCTCTAAAACGTTAGCTTAAAAGACTAATTTTTTTTATCATATACCTTGACACAAATAAGCAAACAGAGCCACTATTTCATCTACAGTTTCAGTTTACCTCTGGAGTCCAATCAGCTTCCACTTCTGGAAATCCACAACGTGCAAAGGGGAAGTGACCCAGTGTTTCACAGGCTTGGCATAAACCCCACAGTTCGGCACAAAGATGGAGAGCGCAGTCACAAGTTTCTTGACTATTGCTTCATCTTCCCCCAACACGATAAGGGTCCTTCCGCTGAGCAGGGAGTATATCGCAGGGTGAGCGAAGGGATACTGCCTAATAAAGCGCAGCGCGTTCTGGCCAGCCTTTTTTTTGTGCCTTTCACTCACGGGAATTACGGGGCAAGCAGGAGAAGGACTTCGGTCAGAACACGTGGACGTGGCACTGCTAATATAGCTCGTGGAGTCCAAACATTCATCCAGGCTAGTTTTACTGACGTCCCTACTGCCTGCCAAGTAGCGCGGATCGAGTTCATAGGGAAGGAGCCCTCCCGAGACACTGTCATGGGAATGGTAGCCAGCAAAAGTCCCGTGCAGCCCCTGCTCGGCCGGCCGGTACGGCTGCGGGGGAATGCTGACCACCCCATCCTCGTCACAGTGCTTCTGGCCTAGGTCAGGCAGAGGCTCAAGGAAGTTGGGACTCTCCTTCCCGATGCAACAGGCAGAATCAACCTGCAATAAGTTTTCCTCTTTTGAACTATCTTCCTGCTTGTCAGCATTATCCAGGTTTAATTTGGGGCTGAAATGAAGGCCTCCCTCTTCGTCATCTGCATAAGGTTCTTCGTTAATGGCACTTGGGTAACTCGCTTTGAAGTCTTCCGGGATCAGTGACTCTGAGGGACACGTGCTGAGAACCTCAATGCTGTCCTCACTGACAGTCCTCCTGCTGCCCACTTTGCTCCTGCCCACCTGGGGACTCGGACTGATGGGTAAGCTGGCCTGGCTCTCAGACTTTGTTAAAACAGATGCTGACTTTTCCGTTCCAAGAACCTCAATGCTCTCCCCGCTACTGATACTCCCTTTAATATCTGCATCGAGATAGTCCAAATTGTCCTGGTGTTCAAAAGTTATGGATTCTGCCATTTTGGGTTCTTGCGAGTCTTCAATTTCCTGCTCCATCTTGATAGGTACACACTCCACACTGGACTTGTAAGAACCCAGGCTGATTACCACTTTCGGAGCGGGAGACTCTTCCAAACACTTTCTGTTGACAGCATCTGGACTAAATCTCTGGCAGCCTCTGTACTGCTTTTCAGGTGCTTTTTCATCTAGAAGAGACGCATCTTCAAAGAGAAAGTTAGTTACACTCTGTTGCTTTAAAAGTGCTCTGCTGATCTGGTTCGTCAAGAGGTAGCACACATCACCTCTGAAAGTCCTCTCAATCTGATGCAGCTGATCTAGAGTTTGGGTGAAAAAATAAACATCACAAAGCTCTTCCAGCGTTTTCAGCTTCTTGTCAAAGCATTTAGCAGACTTCGCTTTGATGAGCTTGGGGGTATAGGATGGCGCGTGTGCATAAAGGTGCGTGTCACCAGGCTCAGCAAGGTCAGAGGTAGTCAGGTCCTGATCACAGCTCGCATTAGCCTGATCCAGTCCACACTCTGGCTCATAGGGGTGGAAGTCAGAGTCCTTCAGTTTCCTATAGGGATAGGATCGGATTTGCTTTAACAGATCTTGGTGCTCAATAATAGACTTTTCAACACTAGCCAATTCATTGGCCTTCTCAATTGCTTGGGTTGTGTAATACCCTTTGTCGTTGGCTTTCTTCTGGATCTCAGTTTCATTGTGCAGCACAGTCCTAGTGTAGTCGAGGTCTTTCAGTTTCTTTTCAAGTTCACTAGCAAAAGCTTTCCTGTTCCCTGTCTTTAGGCATTCAGATGCTTTGGAGAACTCCGCAGAGAGTTCCTGAAACTGCTGCATGATTTTGTGCTCATCAGCAGAAATGTAGGCCATGCAGAAGGGCCTCACAAAACCCCTGGCTTCGAGGTCATACAAAGTCAGGTGGTGCACGTAGGCGAATGCCCCTTCTTTTGAATCTCCCAGCACCACTTTGGAGTCTTCCACAAAGTTCAGCTTTGGGTAGGCGCAGCCGGGAGGATGCCCCACGAAGGAAGCCTGATAATCCACAGACATGATCCGGAGGGAAAAGTAATTGAGATCGAAAGTGCCCGACACTTTCGCATCATCGGGGATGGTCAGCAGGGGCTGGGGCCCCACCTGCTCTGAGAACTCAGAGATGAGGATGAAGTCCCGGGTGAACTTGGAGCTGGCGACCTTGGACCAGGGGTTGGCTCCGGG